GCCCCGGGTACCCGGCCCACGTGGTAGTCCTATTTAACTTACTGAGGAGACACTGCCCTGCTGCACATCCTTGCCTGGCCTCGCGTCCGGCCCTGACTCGCTGTGTGGATGTGGCCCCTATTTGTGCCCTCTCTGCCTCCTGGGCTGTGAGTCGGGACAGTGGTGCGGTCTCCCGGCGGGGCCGTGGGGGCTGTGATGCTGATGTGGGTGTATAGGGCTGAGAGCAGCACCTGGTGCGTGAGAGGCGCTGCGTCCGTGTCTGCTGTTGTTTCTGTGATGGGGGAGCCGTGGCGGATGAAAGACTGGGGAGCTTTTGAGCTAAAAGAGGCCACAGTAAGAGGATGTAGAAGAATCAGAAAGGCCCGCTCCAGACCTTTGGGGCTGGCCCTTCCAGGCGTCCCTCCCATCTGGGGACTCTGTCGTCTCACCAGCTCCATGCTGGGCCGTGCAGACCCTTCAGCTCCGTGGTCTTCGTGGCTGGACCACTCCTCAGGGGTGGGAGATTCGGTCCTGCACTCAGACCAGGGCCCAGGTTTCCCAGCTAGTAAAAGGAGGACCAGGTGTGTCCACCGTCTGAAAGCTCCAAATACAAGTTTCTAGGAAACAGTGTCTCACCAGTGACGCTAGGAAAAGGCAAACCTGGTTGCTTTTCAGTCGAATCGACTGAATTATCGCCAACTATTCTGCCAAACACTGTTTCTCTCAATTTTTAAAATTAATCCATATGTTCATGATTCATTACACCCAGCTCATCACAGTGTTTTATAAAAGCTGTTTGAATCCCAAGATTCCTTAGAGGGGTTTCTCAGAAGCACTCAGGAGCAAGGAGATAAAACTTTTCCCACTTGTCTTTGGTTGGAAATCTCAGCCTGGTGAGTCTACGTTCCAGCTCTTCAGCTGAAAGACAGAGACCTACGTGAACCCTGGGGAAAATGTAATAACAGTGTCCTGAGGACACTTCCATCCTGCGCTCATGAATCTTGAGAGTTTCTGGGCCCCAGAGCCTTCTGCCTGCATCTACTCTGTGGTTGGGAAAGGTCGTTGGAGTTTGCAGTGTTGCTCCTTCGATGGAGGAGACTCTGGGAGTCAGGACATGTGTCGTAGTCTGGAATCTAGGCGCCAGCTCGAGGCCTCCAGGCTTACGGGGCCTGTGTGATCGGGGAGTGAGGGGCATCCACCTCCCTGCAGGAGACTGTCCTCTGACCACGTCGGGGCCCCGTCTGCTGACAGCCTGGGCCCAGGTCCCGTCGTCATGCCTATTCTAGTAAACGTTTGCAGCCCACAGTTCCTCTGCCCTTTTTCTCCTCCTTAACTAACCAACCCTCTCCTAGTCCCCTCCGTGTCTCAGAACCCTGGGCCTGGCAGCATCCCTGCCTGCTGAGGTCAGGATAGGGGAAGAGCGCCCTTCTTCTCTGGGGACAGGGGGGCAGGTCGCCTAGGGGCCACAGGGGGCTGTCCAGCGGGGCCCAGCTGGGCTCCGTCTCTGCAGGGATGCAGCTGCTTGGAGACCCGGGCAGGTCAGGCCTTGCCCCTCCAGCCCCACCACGAGGCCACTGCGAGGGAGCCTCCTGCAGCCAGCACACAGCCTCTGCATCAGGCGCCATGGCCTGAGGTCCCCCGAGGGCTCCACAGAGGCTTTGCTTCTGGGAACCAGGAAGCACAAGGGAGACGAGGCTCCTGCAGGCCGAGAGCTTGGGGCGCCGTGGTGTTGACCCTCTGTCCCCTGTGCCGTCCCCTCGGGATGCTGGCAGCATCGCCTCCATCACCATTAGAGGCAGGGGTGGGAGGAGGGAGGAGAACTCGGGCAGGGAGACCCAGCGGGCAGGCGAGGCTGGCCCGCCCCGACAAGGCCTGAACGCAGACGGCCGCCCCAGGGTCTGGTGACTGTACAGGCGTTCGTTCAGCAGCTTGTATGCAGCCCCTGCTGTATGCCAGACACTGCTCTGGGCGCCAGGAGAGCAGAGTGTGCAGCCCGCCAGGAGCGCTCGGCGTCGGCACAGGCCCGCCTGCGGCCCGCAGGCCGAGTCTCTCCTTCTGGTAGGACGGCTTTAGTGAGACGTGATTCAGACATCATACACCCATTTAAAGTGTTCAACGTAGCGGTTTTGATAATATTCACCACCATCTCACTCCAGACATTCCATTGCCCTCAGTAGATACCCGGCCCCCTTAGCAGTCAGTCCATTGTCCAGCTGCACCCCCCAGCCCGGGGCTGTCAGGAACCTGCTTTCCGTCTGTGTGGACCTGCCTGTTCTGGACATTTCATTAGCTGGAATCATATAAGGTGTGACCTTCCATGCCTGGTGTCTCTCCCTAAAGTCCAGTGTGTTCAGGGTTCATCTGGCTCGTAGCGCTAGAACGTCCTCCCTCTTCATGGCTGCGTAATACTCCACACAGAGGCAGAGTGCTTATCCACCCACCAGGTGAAGGACACTTGGGTTGCTTCCAGCTTCTGGCTGGCATGACTGATGCTGCTCTGAACACTCACGTGCAGGTTCGTGTGTGGACGCGCGCTTTCGTTTCTCTTGAGCGTATACCCAGGGAGGAATCAACGGGCCATAGGGTGACAGTGTGTTTCAGCGATTGAAGAACTGTCGATGTGTGACCTTCAGGTTCCTTCAGCTCTTTGCCCAGCAGGCGCACGACTTGACATCCCCACCAGCCGGGGGCTATGGAGTGGTCACCCCACCAGAGGCCCTTGGCTCAAGGGTCTGGGCCGAGGGCACGTGGCACGTGGTGTCAGGCTGACGTCCCCGGGCCCTGCCCAGGACCACTCATCACTCCAGCTTCATCACCTGCAGCGGGGACGGCAGGGCTGGCTTGGCCGCAGCTGGAGAGGAGGGGTTTGGTGGCTTAGCTTCAGGAGAGAGACGCAGGTACCCAGGGCGGGGGGAGGCCCAGGTTTGCCAGCTGGTGCCCAGGCCTCCGTGCTGAGGTGTTGGGCGCCCGAGTGTCGGCAGCTGCCGCGCTGCAGATGTGCTGTCGTGATCTGTGTTGCGGCGTCCCCCGGCTGTGCCGTGGGGTCAGGCCCGCAGCTGCCTGGTGCAGGCAGGGATTGGTGACTGGTCTGCACAACACGTGAGGGCACCGCTGTCTGTGCTGCCCGGGGCCCACAGGTTCCTAACCCACTCTGCTGGTCAGAGTCCCCGGGGAGCCCCGGGCCCCCCAGTTCCGACTCAGTCTCCAGGGGTTCAGACCAGAGGAGGGATCAGACCAGGGGACCCGGTGGTCGGGGTTCCTGGCACCAGCACCTGCCCCGGAGTCTGTTAAGGGCCAACCGGCTCTAGTGGGGGCTGCGGGCTCTGTGTCACCTGTCGGCAGTCCACTGTCATCCTCGGCACTCACTGCTGCTCCCTCGGGTGACACACCTGCCCACACTCACACACCTGCCCGCGTCCACCACACCTGCCCACACTCACACCTGCCTGAGCTCACACACTCACACACCTGCCCACACTCACACACCTGCCCACACTCACACCTGCCCGCACTCACACACCTGCCCACGTCCACCACACCTGCCCACACTCACACCTGCCTGCACTCACACACCTGCCCGCGTCCACCACACCTGCCCACACTCACACCTGCCTGCGCTCACACACTCACACACCTGCCCGCACTCACACACCTGCCCGCGTCCACCACACCTGCCCACACTCACGCCTGCCTGCGCTCACACACTCACACACCTGCCCACACTCACACACCTGCCCACACTCACACCTGCCCGCACTCACACACCTGCCCACGTCCACCACACCTGCCCACACTCACACCTGCCTGCGCTCACACACTCACACACCTGCCCGCACTCACACACCTGCCCGCGTCCACCACACCTGCCCACATTCACACACCTGCCCGCGTCCACCACACCTGCCCACACTCACGCCTGCCTGCACTCACACACCTGCCCGCGTCCACACCTGCCCACACTCACGCCTGCCTGCGCTCACACACTCACACACCTGCCCACACTCACACCTGCCTGCACCCACACACTCATACACGTGCCCACACTCACACACCTGTCTGCACTCACACACCTGCCCGTGTCCACCACACCTGCCCACACTCACGCCTGCCTGCGCTCACACACTCACACACCTGCCCGCACTCACACACCTGCCCGCGTCCACCACACCTGCCCACACTCACACCTGCCTGCGCTCACACACTGACACACCTGCCTGCACTCACCCACCTGCCCGCGTCCACCACACCTGCCCACACTCACACACCTGCCCGCGTCCACCACACCTGCCCACACTCACGCCTGCCTGCGCTCACACACTCACACACCTGCCCGCACTCACACACCTGCCTGCGTCCACCACACCTGCCTGCACTCACACACTCACACACCTGCCCACACTCCACACCTGCCCGCACTCACACACCTGCCCATGTCCACCATACCTGCCTGCACTCACACACTCACACCTGCCCACACTCACACACCTGCCCGCGTCCACCACACCTGCCCACACTCACACCTGCCTGAGCTCACACACTCACACACCTGCCCACACTCACACACCTGTCCACACTCACACACCTGCCCGTGTCCACCACACCTGCCCACACTCACACACCTGCCCACACTCACACCTGCCCGCACTCACACACCTGCCCACACTCACGCCTGCCTGCACTCACACACTCACACACCTGCCCGTGTCCACCACACCTGCCCACACTCACGCCTGCCTGAGCTCACACACACACACCTGCCCGCGTCCACCACACCTGCCCATACTCACGCCTGCCTGAGCTCACACACACACACCTGCCCGCGTCCACCACACCTGCCCATACTCACGCCTGCCTGAGCTCACACACACACACCTGCCCGCATCCACCACACCTGCCCATACTCACGCCTGCCTGCGCTCACACACTCACACTCATGCCCACACTCACACCTGCCCGCACCCACACCTGCCTGCACCCACACCTGCCTGCACTCACACCTGCCTTTCTCTCCCACCCCGCAGGACACACAGGACCAGCCACTGCTACCGCATCACCTACCGCCACATGGAGCGCACGCTGTCGCAGAGAGAGGTTGGGGGCATCCACCAGGCCGTGCAGGAGGCAGCCGTGCGGCAGCTGGGCGTTGAGGGCAGGTTTTGAGGCCCCGCTTCCCAGGGCTCCAGGGTTGCTGAGTGAAGGAGAGAAGGATCCCATCTGTGGACTGAGGCACCCGTCATCCTGCGATAAACCGGTCGGTTCCAGGACTCTCAGACAATAAAGGATTGCTTTCAAGAACCTGTGAACAGAACGCTTGTCTTTTATTTGGGAGAAACAGGGGAGGCACAGTAATGGGAGAGCGACCTTCCACTCCTTTTAGAAACGCTTTGCCCGTGGACGCTCGGGGCGCTTAATCGGTCCCTGGATTCCACTAAAGTGTAAACACCAGACATGATTTCTTGCCCGACAGGCTCTTCCTGCCCTGGAATGAGTGAAGCCACACCAAGGGACAGACTGCAGACCCTGGAAGCTTTCCTGCATCGGCTCCCAGCCCATCTCCCTCCTTCTGTTCCACAAAGGGCAGGAGCACGGGGTGTGGAGGAGACGCCAGACTAGCATCCCCAGCAGACAGGATTGTCTTTCCTCTTCACAGGCGGGGCTTGGAGCCCAGCCTCTGGCCCCGGGGCCTGGGTGGAGTTGCCTCCTGTCCCCTGGGGGCGCTGGAGCCTTGGCCGCCATGCTGGGCGGCCCGTGACCTGGTGGGACCCGTCCTGGAAGCCCGGGAGCTTCTGCTTCCTGACCGCCATGCTGGGCGGCCCGTGACCTGGTGGGACCCGTCCTGGAAGCCCGGGAGCTTTTGCTTCCTGACCGCCATGCTGGGCGGCCCGTGACCTGGTGGGACCCGTCCTGGAAGCCCGGGAGCTTCTGCTTCCTGACCGCCATGCTGGGCGGCCCGTGACCTGGTGGGACCCGTCCTGGAAGCCCGGGAGCTTCTGCTTCCTGACCGCCATGCTGGGCGGCCCGTGACCTGGTGGGACCCGTCCTGGAAGCCCGGGAGCTTTTGCTTCCTGACCGGTGGCCTCTGCTTCCGAGAAGACCATCATGGGGGACTGTGGGGCTGTGACATCTCCCCGTTTCCATGCCCGGCGCTTCTGTAGTCTGCCTGCCCCACTCCTGACCAGTTTTCTAATCAGATTCCCTCCCCAGCATGATGCTGCAGGCTGATAGAGGGCTGCATGTGCCGGGATAAATATCTGATGAGCGCACCCATTGGCAGCTGGGCAGGCAGGCGCTCCAGCAGGAGGCACGGTCCCCGTGTCATTTTGCCCTGTTATCTGGGGGGCGCCTCCCGTGGACTTTGAAGGGTATCTAGTGCAGGCTGCACCCCAGCCCGGCCAAGCCACGGGCCAGGGCCCAGGAGTGGACGCAGGCAGTGCCCCGCGGGACTGGTGACCTTTCCTCCGGGGGCCTTTGCTTGCAGACATTCCTGACCCAACCTGGGATCCTTGTGAGCCCCCAAATCAGTTAGGCATTCATGGAAATGCTCCCCACAAATCAGCTGAGGGGTAACACTCAGAAAACATGGCGCTGCTCATTGGCCAACCACCCAAGCTCAGAGACGTCTGGGGCCAGGCACTGCGCGGGGGCAGGGAGGGGTGACGTTCGGGGTGGCGGTGGGGCGGTCTTACAGAGGGCTTTCCTGAACGTTCTTCTCGACACTCGATGAGATGTAGGCAGCCCTCTCATGAGGGGACTTAACCAGGACCATGCCAGGCAGGGGGAGGCCTCACCTGAGCCTGCTGCCCCCAGATTCAGAAGCTGCAGCTAAATGGGGTGCCAGGTCCCTTCTGCTCCCAGGCCTTTGTTCTGTTTCCACGAGACCTCAGCCCCGGGAGCTTGTGTGACCCCCTCACTCTGCTCTGGGTATCGGCGCTCCTGCCAAAGGTGGGCCCGCCTACCAGGGGCATCTGGGGACGCCCAGCTCCTGACTTCTTCATGGGAGTGAGAAAGGAGAATAGTGAGGAAGGAAAAAAGAAGAAAGAAAATGTAATCCCTGAGATGATCGGCACTCCGCAACTTGGGGACAGACGACTCGCTTCGTGCAATGTGATGACCAGCACCGCTGCCATCGCCACACTCGCTGGGGGCCGCCCCTCCTTCATGGAGCAGGGACCACGGTGCGTCCCCCTGGGAGCTGAGACCACGAGGCCAAGGGCAGGCCCAGGGTCCTCCGGGCGGCGGGGAGCAGAGCGAGAACTCGAGGTCCCCTCTGTAAGACCAAAGCCCGCGGTCTTCCCGCCATGCCGTGTCTGCCAACACCAGTCAGCGGGTGAGGACACAGTGGCCTCGGCTTGCCCTCTGCAACCTCAGGCCTCAGACGAGGGGGACGCCCTCCACGGCTCCACTGCTCAAGTGCAAGCCAGCACGTGCACGTGTTTTCTATTTGGACACAAGCCTTAACGAGGGCTCGGTGTGCCCACACTTACCAAGGACGCGGGGTGACCAGGCCGCACTGAGTTAAACAGGAGACCTCAGGGAGGGCGCATGGACCTGGGTAAACTACAGGATCCATCAGAGAAGGAAGTCAGTGTAATCAGCGGGTCTGCTCTAAAGCCGCACGTCCAGCTGGGTCCCAGCTGCACCCCAAGCTGCTGGTGTCCATGAGCAGGACGGGCAACCAGGGCCAGGGCCCAGAACGGCACACCAGCTGGCTCATCACCCTTCCCTCCTGGACAGGAAGAGCTTCAATGGGCAGGCGTGTCAGCCTGGCACTATTACAGAGCACATTTTGAAATCTGCTTTTAACGGCTTCCAGTTTACTGAGTGGCTCGTTTACAGTCATCTTTACTTAATAAGAAACAACTAGGATGACAAGCAAGTCAATGGAAAAAGGAAAGTCTTTTCAACAGGTATTGCCAGAGCAACTGGTTCTCCATGTTAAAAAAAAAAGAAAAAGAAAAGGGGGGACGTCCCTGGAGCTCCCCCAGGGAGCTAAGAATCCACACTTCCACTACAGGGGGCACGGGTTTGAATCCTGGTCGGGGAACTGGAATCCTGCATGCTGCAGCCAAAACATAATTTTAAAAAAATTTTAAAGACGTTATTTAAAAAGAAAATCATCTCAACCTCAATTCCAGACTCCACACAAAAATTAATTCAAGATGGAACATAAGCCTAAATGTAAAAGTCAAAAACTTATCATCGAGCTTAAAGAAGAAAACATACGGGATTGTTCTTGTGACCTCGGGTAGGCAGTGACTTCCGAGGGAGGTCACAGAAAGAGCTAGCAAAGAAAAAACTGATACACTGGGCTTTTTCAAGATTTAAAACATTCACTGTTTGAAATACATCATGAAGAAAATGCGTAGCAATGGATGGGCCCAGAGAGTGTCATACTGAGTGAGGTGAGTAAGACAGAGAAGGAGAAATATCACATGACATCCCTTATATGTAGAATGTGAAAAGAAATGATGCAAGTGAACTTGTCTGCAAAACAGAAAGAGGCTCACAGACTTAGAGAAGGAACTTACCTTAACGGTTACCAGGAGGGAAGAGCTGGAGGAAGGGGTAGTTAGGGAGTTGAGGATGGACGTGGACACACTGCAGTATCTTAAATGGGTCCCCAGCCAGGAACTCTGCTCAAGGTTACGTGGCGGCCGGGATGGGAGGGGAGTTTGGGGGAAACGGCTACATGTATGTGTCTCTTCACTGTTCACCCCAAACTATCACAACATTGTTAATCAGCTCTACTCAAATACAAAATGAAGAGTTAAAACAATGAACAGGAAACCCACAGAATGGGAGAAAAATTTGTGACACCTATATTGAACAAAGAAATTTATATCCAGAATACACAGATTTACTACAATTTAGGAATAATTGCTTTAAAAAGTCTTTTGAAAAAATGCACAAAGATTTCCTACAATTTGATAATTAAAAAATAAAAAAAAGAACAAGCACTCCATGAAAACATTTATAAATGACCAATAAGACAGAAAGACTCAACATTGTTGGTCACCAGGGAAATGCATCTATGAAGCTATGAGCAGACAGGACTCATCCGTGGCCGCAGAAAGCAGGCCAGAGGTGGCCTGCCTCTGGGGAGGGGTTGACAGGAGGGGGCCCGTGGGGATTTGAGTGACGGGAATCATCTCCATCTTGACTGGCATGCAGGTTACACAGATGGTGCATTTGTCAAAACTCCTCAGGCTGGATGCTTTAAGATCTGTGCCTTGAGCCACAGATAAATTACGCCACAATAAAAATGAGACAACCGACCTGGGCCGCGTCCCATGACCGGGTGATCAACTACAGCTCCACCGAGGAGACGGCAGCTCGGAGCCAGGGGAGCTGGCAGAGAGGTGGGCATAGGAGGAGCTCTGGGACTGTGGGGACAAGGTCACACTTGAGACGGGTGGGCGGCTCTCCAAGAAGTTGGGGTGGGGGGGTGCTGGAGCAACAAGGTGTCCACACATCGGTCTCCCCCCGGGGAGGGTAACACATAACTCTGCTGAGAATCAGACCCCATGAGGCTGCCTCCCTGCCCATCATCAGCCCACGTCCAGCGGGTGCTGTGAGGACCACAGCCCGGCCACACAAGCCCACCCCTCGGTCCTTCTGGACCACGTGTCTGAGCTGCCTGGGTACCACCAGCAGCCATGTCTGTGCCCCACTCCCCCCCTCCCCGCCCCTCCCTCCCTCCTCCCCTCCTCCTCGCCCCCTCCCTGCCTCCTGCCCAGCGGTCTGAAAGACCGCTCTGGCCTGGATTAATTCAGACCCAGAGGATGAGAATGAAGCCACAAGCTTGCCGGAGGGAAACACATCAGGCCTGTTCACGGGCTCACCCCTTGGATGAGGGCACAGCGCCTGGCGAAGGGCCCCTCCCTGGCGAAGGGCCCCTCCCTGGCGAGGACTGCAGTCAGCGCTCCTGTCGCTGGGTGTCAGTTCCTTCTCGGGCCGGACTGGGCACACCGCCCAGCCTCCTCCTGCTCCCAAAGCCCCTCCGGCCGCCTCCCTGCAGGGTGCCTCGGGGCTGCAGTCTCTGAGGCCTTGCTGTGCTGGCCCAGGGCGGGCCGGGCGCTCAGATGACCGGCCTCTCCTCCTCTGTGCCAGCCCCTCCAGCAGGCTCCCAGGGATGCTCGCTTCAGCTCAGCCCAGGCCAG